GTATTGTTGACAGATGCAGATGAGCCAGAATTGCTAACATAAGCTGTTTGAGAGTGCTACCAAGAAGCTGTTGAGAGTGAGGAGAAGACAAAATGGATTATTGCTATGAAAGATGAAATGCAATCCTTATATGACAATGATACTTTTGAACTGGTAAAGCTTCCTAAAGATAGAAAAGCCTTGAAGAATAGGTGGATCTATAAGGTGAAGCATGAAGAGAATTCATCATCCCCACGGTATAAAGCGAGATTAGTTGTCAAGGGCTTTAATCAGAGAAAGGGGATTGATTTGAAGAAATTTTCTCACCAGTGGTTAAGATGTCTTCCATCAGGGTTATCTTGGGTTTAGCTGCTACACTTGATTTAGAGATTGAGCAGATGGATGTGTTGCAAACTGCATTTTCTTCATGGTGACTTAGAAGAGGAAAAAATTTGTATAAATGGAGCTACCTGGAAGGTTTTGTTGGTGAAGGGCAAAGGAAAATTATGTTTTTCGCAAGCTGAAAAAGGAGCTTGTATGGTTTTTTAAAAACAAGCACCAAGGGCAGTGTATAAGAAGTTTGAGTCTGTTATGGTTCAGCAAGGCTTACCAAAAAAAGACTATTCTGATCATTTTGTGTTTTTGTGCAAAGTTTTTCTGACATGGGACTTATTCATTTTTGCCTGTTGTATGTTGATTGATATGCTTATTGTGGCCTAAAACTTCCTCCAGAAATTATTGAATTTGAAGAAAGACTTGAGCAAGTCTTTTCTATGAAGGATTTTAGACCCGGCAAAGCAGATTCTTGGATAAAAGGTCATTCGTGACAGAAGATGCAAGAAATTATGCTTTCACAAGAGAAAGTATATTGAAAAGGTACTTAACAACGGTTCCAATATGGCTAAGGCTAAGGCGTGTAAGTACCAACCTCTCCCAATAACATCTATTAGAATTGATGGTGAAGCAGTTTCCTTTCCAATGGAGCAAAGATTAAAGAATTCATGCAAAGGTTCCTTATGCATCTGCAGTAGGAAAGTTTGATGTATTGCTATGTTTGTACTAGACCAGATATAGCTCAATGCAGTTTGTACAGGTTAGTAGATTTCTTTTCTAAAAATCCAGGGTAAGAGCATTTGGAATGCAGTTAAATGGATATATGCAGTTAAATGGATATTGAGATATCTCCGTGGTACTTCAGGTTTGAAGTTGTGTTTTGGGTCTGAAAAGCTTATGCTTTGTGGTTACACTGATTCCGATATGGCTGGGGATATTGATTCTAGAAAGTCTACTTCTGGGTACTTGATTACATTTGCAGGGGGAGCTGTGGCATGGCAATCCAGGTTGCAAAAATGTATTGCTTTATTTACTACAGAGGCTGAGTTTATTGCAGCTACTGAAGCATGCAAGGAGTTGCTATGGATGAAAAAATTTGTGAATGAGCTTGGCTTTACTCAGGAAAGGTATGTTTTATTTTGCATAGCCAGAGTGCTATTTCATCTTTGTAAGGAATCCAACTTTTCATGGTAGATCTAAACATATAGATGTGAGATATCATTGGATCCGTGATGTTTTGGATTCTAAGTCAATTGAGCTTGAGAAGATTCATACGGATGATAATGGTGCTGATATGTGCACAAAGTCTCTACCAAGAATGAAGTTTGAAATATGCCGTTTGAGTACCGGTTTGGGCACCTCTTCCACATAGTCGGGAAGGGGGAGAATTGTTGGGTTTGGGTTCCCTTCCTGTGTGGTAAAAGCCCATATTTTGAAGTCCACTAACTAATTATTATTTTACAATTATGCCCCTCAACTAACAGCCATATTCCTAATATTTTTTGGCTCTCATTTTTGGTTTTGGCTCTCATTTGATCGACACACAACCAGAAATCGTGTGAGAAAAACAGAGGAGAGGAGAGGGTTTTTCTGCACAGCCCCATCCAGCACTAGCCACCGTGTTCTGGAGATTCCTGGAGTTTCAACCGTTGGATCGTTGTGATATTTGGATATGTCGTTCTTTGCTCTCTGTTCTTTATTCTCACCGTAGGGATTTTCATTTGGAGGTTCAGAGATTGAGTTCTGGGTCTGAATCCGAAGCTGTCCTGTTCTGCTTCTAGCTCTGCATAGCTTCATCTTCTTCAGCGTTTTCGGCAGTCATCCTTTTCGATTGAAGCTGATTTTTCGGTGAGCTTGTTTCGCTAACATCCACTCTTGATTCTGGCTGATCAGGTTTTTAATTTTGATGAGTAGAACATTTTTAAATGTATTGAGAACAGCAGCTGTATTTTGTGATCACTCTATTGTGTTCCCACACATTTATTTGTGGTTGTTTGTGGTATAGCTATATATTTTGATGGTTGTAGCTTGCTGTAAGTTGTAAGACAATATTTGTGATAGTGAAATTTATTTCCTTGGACCGGAGGAGAGGTTCCGTGGTTTTTATCCTTCACACCAGAGGAGTTTTCCACGTAAAAAGATTTGTGTTCATGTGGGGAATGTTATTTTTGATTGTGTATGATTTGGGACAGCTTGTGTTGCTTGAATTTGTTGCTCATTGTTACTCCTAATAGATTCACATTGTTAATCCTAATAGATTCATTCAAGTGGGGAAGTTTTTGTTGTGAGGTCAGATTTTGTGTTACTTCCCATCATAAAAATGGAGTCTATTATAGTTATCAGGTTGAAGGTGCTCTATTGTCCAGGTTATTAATGAATCGAACGGGCTTCTTGGAGCGTTTTCTAAGAATAACTCTTCCTTGGAGAAATAAGAAATATATATTATGCACCATTAGATGATGAATGTGATAAGTACTCAGTTTGTGGTGCTAATATGAAAATGTAAGTTATTATGATAATTTCTCATTACATGTGATTGCTTTTAGACGCTTTATATTGGAATCTTCCAAAAATAGGAAGCAATCATCTGTGTTCGAAAAAACCTCCATTGGATTGCAAAAAGGGTTACGTTTTTCGTACGTATACAGGATTGAAAGTTTACCAGATACAATCTAATTCTGGTATGATATGAATATGACCATTGCAGAATGTAAAGAAATGTGTTCAAAAAAACTGCTTTCTTGCACTGCATATGCAAATTCAAGCATCATTGGAGAAGCAGTGGCTGATTCCGTGCTATGGTTTGGTGAACTGATTGATATGAGATTATACCACTGAAGGTGGTCAAGATATCTATATAGAAATGTCCTCTTTCCAAAAGGATCAGGTATAAAAAAACTCTTTTTTTTTTCCCCTAAATTCTTTCATTTGGCTCTGGGAGGATTCAAACTCGAAACTCACAGCACTGAAAACAGTAAATCGAGGGTCTTGGGCTCATTGGTCCAAAAAAATTTATCTGTTTTCAGAAAAGGAATTAGCCAGTTAGGTTATGGCCATATATAATCCTCATGGAATTATACCCACTGAGAATACTTTTTTATATTGCAGATCAGGTACAAAAAAGGGAGGCTGATTGATCATGTCAGCTCTGCTATGACTCATAGGAGTGCTTATGGTGGGGATTATAGTTTGCATAAGGAAAAAGAAAACAGGAGAAAGCGAGGAAACAGTAAAAAGGGCGTTATATAGGAAGTGTTAATGAAGATGGAGAGGTAAAGGAAGACATGGAAATTTTTTTTTTTTGGCCCCCCCCCCCCAATATTTGATTTGCCTACAATAGCTTAAAGCCACAGATAATTTTTCCCAGTATCAAACAAACCCTAACTGGGGGGGCAAGGTGGTTTTTGGACCTGTCTACAAGTAAAAGTAACAAATTTGAATATTTAAAATATGGTACATTAATATGGTACATAACATATTATCTCTGCAACTACAAAGATCTTCAGTTTCTGTAACAATGGTTTTCAGGGTACATTGACTAATGGGCAAGAAATAGCAGTCAAAAGGCTTTCAAAGAGTTCTGGACAAGGGTTAACAGAGTTCAAAAATGAAGTTATTTTGATTGCAAAACTTCAGCACAGAAATCTTGTTAAACTTCTTGGCTGCTGCATTGAGAAAGATGAAAAAATGTTGATATATGAATTCATGCCGAACAAGAGCTTAGATTTTTTCATTTTCGGTTTGAACTTCTCTCTTGTCTATAATTACTATCTCACAACTTGTTTTATGTTAATCTAGTAAAACATTCTACTAATAGATGACAAATATATCAGATCAAATGAGAAGCAATTTTCTAGATTGGAAAAAGCGCTTTCACATTATTGAGGGAGTTGCCAGAGGGCTTGTTTATCTTCATCAAGACTCTAGACTAAGGATTATACACAGAGATCTCAAAGCAAGCAATGTGTTATTGGATAAGGACATGAATCCCAAGATTTCTGACTTTGGTTTGGCTAGAATATTTGGTGGGGACCAAACAGAGGCTAATACAAATAGAGTGGCAGGAACATAGTAAGTACACATCTGCACTTATTATTCATTTTCAGTTCTCCCCTGTTAGGAATTTCAAATTTAAGATAGCAAAAAATACTGTTGGGAATTTTTCAAATTTAAATAGCAAAACATATTAGTTCCATTACTAGTTTTCATTTTGCAGTTGGTTTATATTGTCGCCGGAGTACGCAGTGGACGGGCTTTTTTCTCCATGAAATCAGGGGACGTCTTCAGCTTTGCGTATTATACTTGGAGATAGTAAGTGGAAAGGAAAAACAGAAGGTCTTCCACCAAAGAACACAACCACAATCTTCTTGGACATGTAAGACTTTTGGCTGGCACAGGTCATCAATTACTAATTGGAATAAATTTAATCTTTATTTGTTCTGATGTTACAGGCATGGAAACTTGTGGATAGAAGAGAGTCAATAGAATTAGTTGGAGTAGAAAGCTAGAATCTTTAGCCATTCTGAAGTGTTAAGCATGCATTCAAGGGGGTCTTTAATGTGGTTCAACAGCGTTCCAGAAAGACAGACCAAGCATGGGGCATCTGTATTGTAATGTTAAGCAGTGAGAGTTTATTGCCGAAAACCGGAAGCAGCCCTGGCTTTTTCACAGAAAGAATAGCCTGAAGCAGAGTCTTCATCCACCAACCATGGAACATCCTCAGTAAATTGAGATAAGTACAAACTCAGCTGCTGCCCAAGGTAGAATATTAAAGATATTACCAGTTTCTATGTTGAAAACTGTCTTCAACATAATTTGCATACGTTAGAAAATTAAGATTTAAGATTAAAAAAAAATGTCAGACTTTAAGGATTTAAGATTAAAAAAAATGTCAGACTTATAAGTTAAGAACTTGAGGAAGGTATGGCATATTGGTGTTTATTGCAAAATTTGTATAATTATTTTGTATAGTCTCAAAATGAGAACCTCCTTTACGACAGTGCAAAAATTTGTTTTCATTTGGATTTCATATTTTTTTAAAAAATATTAATAATAAAAATAAAAATAAAATTTTAAATGCTCTTTGAATATCCAATTATATTAGGTGACATGTTTATATACGTAGAAATATAATATTTAAGACAAGTGTAATTAAAAATAATTGAGAAATATTTATTTTTTTTATTAAATTAATAATAATTTGACTATATATATTATTAACCTAAAAAATTACAAAAAATTTTTTTATCAGCAATTAGAATATTAAAATAAATTTTATTAAGGGTAGTAAAAGGACAAAACTTATCAAAACGGAGTAATTACTCTCAAACCAAACGGAGCAGAATAACCTCATTAAAAACATCTCTTTTAAGACAAGAGAAGAGGGACTAGAAATGCTAGAACTTTAAGACAAGAGAAGAGTACTAGAAATGCTAGAACTGCTGATAGTACAAAGAGAGAAAATCCAAAAAATAAAAATAAAAATAAAAATAAAAAAATAAAGTTAAATCCAAGCTAAGGATAGACTTGAAGCAGTAACACCTGGTTGAGTTGTCAGACTCTATAATCAAAGGAAAATTCTTAACATTTGAATACTAATAAAATCTTAGTTAAAAATCTGCAACATGATTGTCATCTCTTGAAATAAAAACAAACTGAACCTGGTTGAGTTGATACAAAATCTTATTAAACTTGTTAAACTTCTCCCACCATTTCCATGCCCTCATCATGTTCTGAATAATCCAGCATAAAGCATTTTTAGAGTCAGACTCTATAATCAAAGGAAAATTCTTAATAAAACTCAACAGCCGAAAAGAAAGCAAGGAGTTCCGTCTTATTCGAATCCAAAATACCGACTGAATGAAAAAAAATACATTTAACTACTCGGTTGTCATACCTTAGCACGCCTCTAACCCCTACTGGACCCAGCTTACTAGAAGAATTAGGATTTTTTTTCATGCTAAAAATATAGACAAATAAAAAATATAAAATAAAAAATTATATTTTATTAATTTAATTTTTATATCATACTTGGAGATTTTTTTGGTAAATAACAAAATTAAATACCTAATTAATAAACTAAATCTAACTAAAAAAGAAAAAGACCATATATATATATATAGATATATATACTCATAGTTATAATTTATATTTAAATATTTGTGTATGTATCTATATATATATATTAGTGAGTATATATATATTAGTGAGAATAAGTGGACAACATTAATATTGTCAAAAAATGCCTTTACTAAGTTTGACAAAAATATTATTAACGATTTAATTTGATTTGTTGAAAAACCAAAGGTAATTTTGATTGACATATTAATTTTTTCTATTGAAATCCTAAATTATATTGGATAAAAAAAGAAATTATATTAAATAGTATATTAAGATATATAAAAAATATTTGGTAATACCTATTTAGTTACACATTTTCTTAAACCAAATATAAAAATTTTAAAACCAATTCAAAAATTAATATAAAAATTTAAATATTAGAAGCATTGACTTCATAAAATCCAGCTTTGATAGAGATGTGTAATTTTCTATTTGAGTCAAACTTTACTAATAAAAATTATGTCTAAAATGGCTTAAGAGCACTTTTTTTTGTACCTAACAAACAAGATGACATCCTAAAACCTAAATAGACAAACAAATATCCTTTACATTCAGATTGAATCTTTACCCTTCACCCCTCTTTTATTATTAACCTCATTAAAAGTACAAAATTTCTGTACAGAAATAATTGAGAAATTGCTCAAACAAATATTAAAAATCAAACATATTGATTAAGGAGTATTAAATTTCTTACAAGGTATAGATAAAACATTGCAATCAAATATAGAAAAATAACATTGAGAAATTTAGAGGAAAATAGGTATATATCTATTATTAATTGTCCATATATTTACTATAAGCAATATATTATGTCTCTATGTAGCAACCTATCCATTAAACAGTGATACTCTTCTTTGTGAAAAATGCAAAGCAGTAAAAATCCAAGACTATTTATTTTCTCGTGATAAATAACTTATATGTATATCTATAATATATATAAAAGTGGAAATGGGTGGAGGAACATTATGATTGTTAAAAATGCTCCTACTAAGTTTATGAATTGATAAAGATATTACTTTGGATTTTAATTTGATTGATTGTAAAAGATAAAGATAATTTGATTTTAATTAGCATATTAATTTTCTATTTTAATCTAAAGTCTATTGGATAATTTAAGAAATTATATTATATACTATATAAGGTAATTATATACCATATAAGGTATACATAAATATGATAATATTATTCGGTTTTATCTTTTTTCATTTCCATAATCAAAGAAATAAACAATCGAAAAGCTAGATTTTACGATTTAATGGTAAATACGGTCCATATACGTATATATGCCTTTCTAGTTCAAACGGTAGATACAATGTATTTAGATACAAAGTATATATTTATATGTAAAATTATATATATACTGTATTTAATTGATTTTTCATATGAATATATATATATTATTATATATATACTGTATATATATCTTGTATCAGTATTAATCCAAACAAAGTCGAGAGTCCTAACTTATCTTTTGAAAATAAAAATAATATCTATAGAGATGAAATCATAGATTAGGAATTGATTTTCCATCGAAGAATAGAAACGAAAACAAAAATTAAATTGTAAAACAAACACATATTCCGGTGAGGACTTTCACTCCAAGCGTACATGTGATAATGTTTCTTATGTTGGTCTTGCCGGCAAAGTCAAAGTTCAAGTTTACGATTGAAAGAATAATAATAATAATAATAATAATAATAATAATAATTAATCACTTGTGAAAATATCGACATAATAATTAATCACTTGTGAAAATATCGACGTGAAGAATGTCGGCATGAAATGCAGAAAGAGTAATAAGAAAAGAATGCCGGCTGAAAAAAGCGGCAGCAAAAAAAAAAAACTGAAAAAAAAAGAAGTAGATAATGAAAATAGGAAATTAATATGAAAGACGATAATGAAAATAGGAAATTAATATAAAAGGAAACTAAGAAATTAAAACACTAAAACACTAACAAACTAATGCCTTACAAATTAAAAAATGGCATAAAAGTAAAAATATAGCCTAACTGACAACCATTTAAATCTTGAAGTCAAACTGACATATGTTAAAAATAAGTTTCAAAAATTGACATCTATCTATATAAATATATAAAATCTAAGGCCTAAATGCTACGTGGCTACATATTAGAATATGAAAGTAATGACATGACATTTTATTTTTACCTTATAATTAATATCTTTTATATTTAAATAAAAAAGTAAATATTCTTTATTAAATAATGGGGGAGTTTACAATTAGAAAAAACTCATAAGATTTCATTTATAATTAATATATATAAATATAAAAGTTTTTTATTAAAATAGCTTTTACTTCTAATCAAAAAAAAATTAATGGAATAAGTAATAATAGAGGTCCATGGTTAATAAAAATAATTAAATAACTTATAATTTAGAATAACAAAATAGAAAATTAAAATATTTAATTTTCAGTTCACTAATAAAAATTATTTTCTGAAGGATTAAAACATTCTTATACTTCATTTAATTTGAAGTAATAAATAATTTCAAAGAGAAAAAATAAAAAGAAATTAACTAAATATATCAATTGGATATAAACAATAATATTTCTTACAATAATTAATTGTGCTAACTAAAATATTTCAGTTAATATTTGAAATTTTAAAAAAAGAACTATAATTTTACCTTCCATCATTTAATCAAAAGTACACAAGTTAAATTATTTTAAATTAAAGGCTACACAAATATAAATTTAAAACGAAATTTTTTTTTGAAAATTACATTTCAGTTTAATTAAAAAAACAGAAATTTTACAATCGCGCATTATACGGGTACTGGAATATGTGCATAAATTGTCACTTTTATTCTTAATTATTTTTTGATATTTTTTTACGTTTTTCAAGCTTAAATCAGGTTGATTGAAAGTTGGTTGAACAATTTTTATCAATTAGATATGATCTAAGTTATTTTTTTGAATAATACCATTTAATTGAGGAATTTTCAGCATTATTAATATTTTGACCATTATACGGGTACTCATTTGTGATTCGATGGAAAGATAGAAAGGAGCTCTACAAATTTCTAAGAGGAGGGTAGATTCAATTCAGCCTTGAAATCCATCAAAAAGAGCTCTGAATCTAGAACAAATGTCATGAATGAACATGCATGAAGGGTTTTTATTGTTTAAGATATATCTGAAGCTCCAAGAGTCAAAATCAGCTCAGCTCAAGCCCATTTGAATCTTAGAAGATAGCCCTATAGTTGCTGTGAAGACAACTAAATGAAGAGAGGTTGTTTTGATTGTCAAAAACGCCATAAAAGATTACGTTTGGAGCAGAAATATCAGCTTCAACCTAATTTGGTTTTTAGGTCATATCTTCTGCTGTGAGTGTCCGTTTTGGGCAAGCCTTAGTTCGTTAGAAAGGTGAGAAGGAGATCTGCAACTGTGAGTGTCCATTTTGGGGAGGCCTTAGTTCGTTAGAAAGTTGAGAAGGAGATCTGCAAGTTTGTTGAAGAAGTTAGAATCAGATTTGAAAAGAAAGTTGTGCAAAATGGGAGAGAAATCAGAACAATAAAGATTTTTGTTGACTGTTTTTTTAAAAGTTCCCAAGTGATTAGAGATTCTTTGGGTCTTTTGAGAGGCTATAGAGGCTATATATAGTTGCAATTCTGGAGCAATTTTGGAGCAGTAGAGGCACGTTTTTCTTTCCACATAGTTCATCATCTAATTTGAGATTTTGTTTCGTATTCTTTTGTTTTAGTGATTGAAAGCCATGAATATGAGTGACTAGTGACTAATTTTCTTAGGTTCAGTTCAAGTTCAGTTCAAGGCATTCAATTTCCATATGTATAATTGTGAGACCTGTTCTTAATTTAAATAATTGTTCTTTGAATATCTGTTGTTTCTTGCAATTAAGGTATTAATTCTATTAGGTGATTTGCTAAAAAGGCCTATTAGTTAATTATTTGGTAGGATTAAGTGCTATTTCATCTTCATAATCAGTAATTGTTGTGAAAAATTCAGTGTTAGTAGCAATTAGATTTTACTGATTATGTTCCATGTTTTTGGTAATAATCTAAAGAAACATAGGGTTGAATTAAATAATTTATGCTTTTTAAATTACTGTTCAAATTTAACTACTTATTACTGTTCAAATTTAACTACTTCCTGTCGTTAATGCTTTTATTAGATTGAAAAGGATTGCTTAATACCTGCTCATTTAATAATTAGAGTTAATAAGGGTGCTGGGCTCAAATTAACTGTAATAGGGACGTCAGGGAATTTATTATGCTTGTTGGTAAGTTTCAGTTAGGTATTTAAAGAGTAATTCATTCAAAATTTGTCTGTGATCATTTATACATTGGATTATAAATTGCCTTAAATTGAATATTTATTAGACTGAGTTCCAATTTAAGTTTAATAGTCAGTTTTATTTTGATTTCTTTAAGTGAATTTTCAAAAGCCAACCCCCCTTTTTCTCTTTACAAAATATCACAAATTTAAGATTTCAGTCTCTAGGGTTCGACTTGAATTCACCACTTCTGCAATTAAAATTCATCAATAATTAGGTTTTGGTGGAATCGAAACCATCGACAACCATCAAAATTTTGGCGCCGTTGTCGGGGACTGAAAGATTATTATATTTTGTGTTTTTATTTTGTTAAAATAGTGTTCTTACCTTTGTGTAGTGTTGTGGTTTCAGGTTTATGGTAAAATTCGTAGAATTGAAGGAGAATTGATGTCATTTGGTTTATGACAAGAAGTTCTCAATCTGGTGAAATTCTTTTTGATCCTGAAGTAGAAAAAACAACTAAACGTTTGAGGAAATTAGCTAAACAAGCTAAACGAGCTAATTTGAGTCAAGCCTCATCTGAACGGACAATTACTGATTCAAACAATTTTCCGAGAGAATCAATTTCAGATTCAGATTCTGAAATTGATACCATGGCTGCCAGAACCTTGAAAGAATTGGCTACACCTGACCTAAATCAGCAACCTTTGTGCATTCAATTTCCTACTTTAGATTGTTGGCTCAAGGGTCAATCTCTAAAAATCCATTTGTTGCCTAAGTCATGGTCTTTCAGGTGAAGATCCACATAAACATTTAAAAGAGTTTCACGTGGTGTGTTCCAGCATGAAACCTCAGGGAGTTTCAGAGGAGCAAATTAAGCTTCAAGCTTTTCCTTTCTCATTGGAAGACAAAGCTAAGGATTGGTTGTATTACCTTCCTTTTGGATATATCAATTCATGGAATGAGACGAAGCGAATGTTTCTAGAGAAGTACTTTCCTACTTCAAGGGCTGCCAACATAAGAAAAGAAATTTGTGGCATTCGACAATACAATGAAGAGAGTTTGCATGAGTATTGGGAACGGTTCTAAAAGCTTTGTGCAAGCTGCCCTCATCATCAAATTAGTGAGCAACTTTTGATCCAATATTTCTATGAAGGACTTCTACCAATGGACCGTGGCATGATAGATGCTGCTAGTGGAGGTGTTGTGTTGGCTCAAGAGTCAAAGTTCTAATTCAGAATTTTGATTGATTAAAACAAAAACAATAAATTTAAATTATATTATTTGTGCTAATATTATTTTATGCAGGACATTCTTATGGAAAGAAAAAATAAACAAGCAGTCACTACATTTGTGCTTGAAGATTATTCGAGACCCTAGTGGTTAGGCATTTAGGATACTTTGTAGATAGAGAGAAAATTCATCTATAAGCACAAAATAAATCTTTCGCTCATCAAGTATTTTTTCGGAAATTAGATCTTCAAAATAAATTCGTTTTATCAAATTCATTTTCGAAAATATTCTTTAAAATTTCAAATGATTTAAATTTCTAAAACTAAAGAGATAGTTTCAAACGTTTTTGGTAATAAAATCTATATTTTCTTTTTCAGAAATTCTTTTGAATGATCTAATGAATTTTTAATTTATTCCTATACTAAAGCGAATGAAGATTTATTTCTTCTCGTTTTGGTAGAAGAAATCCTTCAAAAAATCTTTTCAAATAAAAATGCTGCCGGAAAATCTTTTTATTTTACAGGAAAGTAAAATCGTCTTTAGTTTTCTTTACCAAAAGAATAGATTAAACTTTAGGTAACTAAAGATTTTTCGCAATCTTCTAAAAGGAAGCAAATATTCTGATTTCAAAATAAAATATTCTACTTCCAAAAGCGATAATCATAAAGCTCTCTATAAAAAGGACTTCACGGCTTGGCTAAGTGGAAGTAGAGTTTTCTTTTAAGAGTATTTTCCTTTGAATCACATCTTTTTGTCTCTCAAAAACTTACTCTCTACCCCCATTTTTCTTTTCATTCTTTACACTTCACGTTTTATCTTTAAAGAAAAGAACTTTTTTTTTATAACTACTTTTTGAAAAACGGTTTGTGTTTCTAAACGATTTTCTTAATCTGATAAACTATTTTTTCCTGTGCTTATATGTGGCATTTCTTTTCTGTCTATTTAGATTTCTATAATCTTTAGTAGACAGGGTTTTTATTTGTACATTTGTGCAATAGCCTTGCGGTGATAAGTTATTGGGAAAAGAGGTATCAAGCACCTTCTCGTTGAGAGAGATTCTAATGTCTTGAATTGAGTTTCTGTACTCTGCAAAAACAGAAAGGGTTGAGGTTAACTAGAAAACCTTTAGAAATTAGTGGGATTAAAAGGTAGGATCCTAGGTGTTTGATCTATTGCCTTATACTTCGTTGGTTTGTTCTCTTACCTTTGAAAAAGAGAATAACATAGTTGAGGATCTTCAAATGAGTCTTGGAGGTGGATGTAGGTGAGTTTAGTGCTGACCATATAAATCCAACTGTGGTTGATCTTTTTTAATTATTTCTGAAGTTTTGCTTTGATACTGCTTTAATTTACACTATCTGTTTTATATTTTAGAAAATGCTAAAGTTGTTTACGATTCTTTGTGTATCTTAAAACTGGAATAATCTTATCCTTCTCTAAATATTAATAGAAACTTTGGAAATTTCTATTAAGTGAATATACCAAGTTCTAAACTGTTTTTTTTATTTATAGTATTATTTCACTATTTGGGTTTTTAATCAGTTTTCTAAACTGATTAGGGCTTTTGAGCAGTTCTAATTTCATACTGTCTCTCACACAGTTCTTTAATGATTTTCTATAACTTTATGAGGAAGTTTCTTAAATTTCAATAGCTTTCCTTCATAAAGCAGTTCTGACTGGATAGACATTTGTAAAGCAGTTTAATCAATAGCTGCACTTTGCATAGTCTTTCTATTTTGTCATGAATTTAGAACATTGTGAGGAAGTTCTTAATCCATAACTTATCCTTACAAGTCTTTACTTTTTCGCTGGCACTTAGATTCTATTTTCCTTATTTTAAATTCTAAATATTTTTAGGAAAACAGAAAACCCAATTCACCCCCCCTCTTGGGTTGTGCCATACATATACGGGACCCACAGGAGGGGCTTTGGTTGATAAAACACCGGAAGATACAAGGAGGCTGATTGCTAACATGGCAGCGAATTCTCAGCAGTTTGGAATGAGAATGGATCGCACACCTAAAAAGGTTAATGAGGTAAGTACATCTAATCTTGATAGACAAATTTCTTATTTAAGTTCTTTAGTGAGACAATTGGCCGTAGGGAATATTCAAACTGTTAAGGCATGTGGAATTTTTTCTACTTCGAGTCATGCTACTGATATGTGTCCTACACTCTAAGAGGATGAATTAGTGCAGCATGCCAATGCAGTAGGTAATTTTGGACAGCAACAACGCAGGTATGACCCCCTATTCTAACTCTTATAAACCAGGATGGCGAGACCATCCTAATTTGAGTTATGGGAATCAACCGGTACAAAATCGATACCAGCAGCAAAGACCACAATTAACTCAATTGCCTTCATCTTCCCAAAATCAAGGTATGTCACTTGATGAAATTGTTAAGGCTTTAGCTAATAATACACAACAATTTCAATAAGAGACTAGGAATAGCATTTAGAACATAGAGAAGCAAATTGGTCAGTTAGCTTCATCTGTGGGTAAACTTGAAGCTCAAGGTTCTAGTAAGCTTCCATCATAAATAGTGATAAACCCTAGAGAAAATGCAAGTGCTATACTTTTACGAAGTGTGAAAGAAGTTGATAATCAAGTTGTACACGAGTCAAGGAAAAAGAAGCAGCAGGGTGGAGCAAAGGATTGTGAGGTTCCTGAAGTTGAGGTAAATTCTAAACTTAAAGTTAATGATGCTAATAATTATGTTCCTCCATTTCCTAGTAGCTTGGCCAAGACAAAGAAAGAAGAACAAGAACAAGAAATTTTGGAGACTTTCAGAAAAGTAGAGGTTAATATACCTTTACTTGAGGCGATCAAACAAATCCCCAAGTATGCAAAATTCCTTAAAGAATTGTGTACTACAAGGCACAAGTTGAGGAATAATTAAAAAGTTACTGTCGGGGAAAATGTGTCAGCATTTATTCAACGGAAATTACCCCTAAGTGTAAGGATCCAGGTTCGTTTTCTATCCCATGTAGAATAGGTGATTCTAAATTTGAACGACAATGGCAGATTTAGGAGCATCTATTAATGTTATGTCATATTCAGTTTTTCAAACTTTGAATTTGAACACTTTGAAGGAAACTAGTGTTATTATTCAAATTTGAACACTTTGAAGGAAACCAGTGTTATTATTCAATTGGCTGATCGTTCTAATGCTTACCCTATGGGAGTAGTTGAGGATGTTTTGGTGCAAGTTGGACAATTAATTTTTCCAGTAGATTTTTACATTTTGGATATGGGGGATACTATTCCCACATCAAATTCTGCTTTGATTTTATTCAGAAGACCTTTCCTAAAAACTGCCAAGACAAAGATTGATGTGGATGGTGGCACTTTAACAATGGAGTTTCATGGAGAAGTTGTTAAATTTAATATTTTTGATGCCATGAAGCATCCTGCTGATGATCATTCTATTTTTTCTATTGATGTAATTGATAGATACATTTGTGCAGGATGTCTTTGAGTTAAGCAATGAGGATGAGTTAGAAGTGGTGATTAGTCAAGGAATTCATGAAGATAATACCAATCAGCCACTATGTGCAGAGGTTCAAGATGCAGTAATGGCATTACAGTCATTACCATTAGTTCCAAAAGGTATGGACTTTCTAAGATTGATTTACCTCCTCACACAAAACTATTGCCTTCTATTTTAGATGCATAGTTCTTGAACTCAAACCGTTGCCTGAGCATTTGAAGTATATTTACTTGGGAGATAATGAGACACTTCCGGTTATCATTTCAAGTAAGTTAACAAAGATTCAAATAACTAAACAAGGTGGCGACTCACACATCACGTGCATTTCTTCCTTTAGTCACATGCATTTGCATGGCTGATGTTTGGGGGAGGGGTTCACAATGCATAGGATTTTGTTAGAAGATGGTGCTAAACCAAGTAGAGAGGCTCAAAAGAGGTTGAACCCACAAATGATGGAAGTTGTGAAGAAGGAAATCTTGAAGCTATTGGATGTTGGTATGATTTACCCAATTTCAGACAGTAAATAGGTAAGTTCGGTTCAAGTTGTGCCAAAGAAATCAGGTGTCATTGTTGTAGCAAATCAAGATAATGAGCTTGTTCCAACAAGGATTCAAAGTGGATGGCGTATGTGCATAGATTACCGCAAGTTAAATTTTTCAACAAGGAAGGACCACTTTCCATTACCATTCTTACCATTACCATTCATTGATCAGATGCTTGGAGCGATATAGCATGCTAAGTTTTATTTCTGTTTCATTTGATGGTTTTTTGGGATATTAATCAAGTGGATAGACACCAGAGGACCAAGAGAAGACTACCTTCCACTTGTCCTTTGGAACTGGTTTGCGTTAGAAGAATGCCATTTCAGACTTTGTAACACACCTGCAAAACATTTCAGAGATGTAGGTTAGCATTATTCTCAGATTTTTTGATAATTGCATTGAGGTGCTTCATGGATGATTTTTTACTGTGTTATGGAGATTCATTTGATGCATGGTTTGCATTAATTTATCTTCTGTTCTGAAAGATGCATTGAAAAAATCTTTTTTGAATTATGAAAAGTGTATTATGAAAAGTGTCATTTTATGGTAGAACAAGGAATTGTTTTGGGGCATGTTGTTTCTAATAGGGGTATTAAGTAGATAAGTCAAAGATTGATTTAATTGTGAATTTACCTTACCCCACAACTGTGAGGGAATTGTGCTCATTTCTTGGTCATGCAAGTTTCTATCAAAGGTTTATCAATGATTTTTCTAAGATAGCAATACCTTTATCTAGGCTCTTGCAACAAGATGTTAAATTTGAGTTTAGTGAAGAATGCAAGGAGGCTTTTGACATGCTAAAGTTAATATTGTCATCACCTTCTATTATTCAGGCTCCTAACTAGACTAAACCA